ACATGATGGTTTAGTGTATAAGCTGCATCGATACAACTTCCCGATCTTCCTTGTTAAGATCATCAAACACTACTGGTCGGATAGATCATTCCAGATTTTCTTAAACAATTCACCTTCTGATACGTTCAACGTTCCCCAGGGTAGCGTCCTTGGTCCTATCCTCTTCAACATCTTCACGTCCGATGTTCCTCCCCTCTCGGGTGGTGGTATTTTGTCAATGTTTTAGGATGACACTGCATATCTATAAGGTCCGAGTGATCCGTGCTCTGACGAGAAAACTCCAATCAGGCCTGGCTGTTCTGTCCGACTATTTCAAAAGCTGGAAGATTTGTATCAATGCAGTTAACACACATACCATACCTGGTTTTGGTATACTTAGTGGCCGGAAGCTGTCTCGTTTTGAATGATGTTCTGCTTTGGACAGACATAAGAATGTACGCTAACTGTGTTTCGGGAAATCTGACTCGGTATTTGGTGAATCCATGACGGGACTATGCGGTTTCCAAAAGTTGGATTGTGCTCCCAGAAAGTCGGTAGAAATGTCCGGGGAATGCTTGAATTAGCTTCTGAAAGAAGTCGAAAAAACTTCCAAAGAAAGCTTAAAAGCACCTCTTCTGGAGGAAGTTTGAAGAAAGTAAGTTCTCCGAGAAGTCGATAAAACATCAGGGGAACTTTAAAGTAAAATATTGAGGAACTTCCGGGGAAAATTTAATGAAACTTTCGGAAAAAAAAACAAACGGATGACACATCCAGAGGAGCCAGAAAGGTTTCGGAATTCGTAAGAAAACTCTAGGAGCAGGGAAGCTGGAAGAAGCTCGGAATAAGTAAAAAAAAACCTCCGGAAGAATCTCCTCGAGAAACTTTCAGAGGAAGACAGGAGAATTCGATGATGCTTTCGGTAGAAGTTTAAAGGAACTTCCTGGAAAAGATTGAAGAAACTTCATTAGGTACTTTGGAACAAACCTCATAAGAAAGTCGGAAGCTAGAAGTTTTTCGGGACAGTCGATAGAAACTTCTAGGAGAAGTTGGAAAACAAATTCCGGATGAAAGAGACTTCTGGGATGTCAAATATTCCGGGGGAAGCTGGAAAAAATAGCGGGGGAATATGCATGAACCTTTCGAGCGAAGCCAGAAGTAGCTTAGGTGGCAGATACTACCAGGGAAGAGTTAGAAGATACTTCCAATGGAAGATTAAATAAACTTCAGAGTTTAAAAACATTCTGATTGTCCTTTTTTGGTCACATTCACACCCACCCACGCCACATCCTGGGTAGCCAAAAACAGAGAGTAAATGGAAGCAATTGTCGAATGAGTATCAAGCATAAGCCATTTTTAAAGATTAATAATATTTTGAGGCTCTTCAAATTGTAAATGTAAATCGGTATTGAGTTCAAAAATCGGTACAAATACCGATAAATCGGTACATCTGGTTTCGAGATAGTGCAGTGTTGCCAGTTACTTTAAAAATCATAAAAATGCTAAGCATGTGTGCAAAACAGTGCCAATGAATGAGCTCAGGTGTGCCCAAATCAAGGGGTAAGTCACTCAGCACATTGTGAAATTAGATTCGGCACAGTTTGGGCACATCCTTCGGCACAATCTTGTAGGCATTGGATTGTTTTAAATAAAATGGGAGCTCTGCTGGACAACTGTCACTGAAGTTGTATACAACATTACGTGCTGTTTGACTGTATATTCAGAAAAATCGTCTAATTGAATATACCAGAGGAACTCAGACCAGCAGTTGACTTATATATATCTAAATACGAAATGTAGGTTCTAGAGTGGGTGCAAGAGAAAGAGGCAGTTAATCAGACCCCATTAGTACCCTCAATTCAAATAATGATGCAACTCACACAAAACAATCTACAGAAGTCATATTCATCATCCTCTATAGTCGGTCTCCAACAATGTTCTCCACCGGTTTCATTTCTTTCCGGCCGCTGATAGACCGTTGCTTATCACAGCACGATAGGCTAGGTTTCTGGTCTGTCTATGAGGGCATTATATAACCCTAACACATTGGACTTTTATTATCCTATGAACATAAAACACCAACATTCGCACACCCACCACTTCTCGCGTCATCCTCAATACGAAGGTGTCAGAAATACCGGGTTGCCGGGATGGGTATTTTACAAACAATCAAAGCTTGCTTTATGACCGGCACAATCAGCACACCTACGGCACACTGACAAAAAAAAAGATGACCCAAGATTGATGCGCGAAGTTACCAACCTCTCGATCGAAAGCGAATTATTCCCACTTTCTAAATTTCTATATGGAGATTTTTATTACTTCCTGCCAGGGGAACAGCGCCATCTCTGTGGAAAATCGCCTGACGATATGATGCATTAAGAATTTGCTTGCCTGACAGCAGTTTTTGTAGACAATCAAACTGTTTTAAAAATTTCAGTTCAATTGTAGTTCAGTTGACTTCAAAATTGACATTTCGAAGTGCGGTTTATAGAAGTTATAACAGAGTGAGGACAGTGAAATTACTTCACTTTTTGAAAGGCATCTAGTTTGAAGTTCCACAAATGTTATGTGATCAGTGTTCACTTTACCGGAACTGTACAAGACAATAGGCTCTGCCCGCGGTTAATGCAGTGTTTTGGTGGCGTTGATTCGGTCGTTTGTTTGCTTAGTGGAACGTTGTGTAGCGTTTTTTTTTTGTCTTGGATTGTCGGCTTGATTGTTTGCTGGCTGTTGCCACGGGTATTGTGGGTTTCACAGGTACCCGGTTCAAGCTTCAGTTGGCTGCGGTGCACATGCCATGGCTCTTCTTTTCCTTCTATCCCTGAATAGATATTGCGAATAAGGGCGTCTATGTAATGTTTTGCTGTACCTGTTGTGGACATTAGTACATCCTTTTCCTTGAACTTGTCCGGAACTGATTTCAAGGAAATGGTCAGATCTCGATTGTTTCTCAACTGATCTTGGATCTGTGGCCAGCATTGAATTCAAATAAATTTTCATACCAGAAAAAACACAAGCGATGAAAAAAAAAATAGTTTTTGAAACACCCCTCCCTCCTCCCCAAATTCGGAACATCTCCGATGGCATTATATACATAAAGAAGGCGTACTTGATGCTCATAGACTCCATTAATCTCGTTGGGTATTTTCTATTACTGAGGATATCGTGCAAGCCCTGGTTAATCTAGTTGATCATATGACTTGAACTAGTGAACAATTTAGAAGACTTTAAATATTTCATGGACCTGACAAATAATTTTTAATTATGAATCTAGGTTAAAAGAACATGTTTGAGCATGTATTATTGTAAGGGCCAGTACTCAGATATCCTTTTTCTACCGATATACTCATAGATTTTCACTCCAAGAAAGTTTGGATGGCCTAAAACATCTTTAAAAAAAATTGCATATTTTGTGTGAATTCGGACTATTTGGAAAGCTCTATTATGTATTTAAAATGTGTAAAACAAGAATTGTGGGAAACGATGGACCTTGGAGTCGATTTTTGCCGATGGATTACGGAGCCGAAACAATTTGACAATTATCTAAAACACTATTCTGAACCACGTGAAGAATTCTTCTGATGTTTCCTGGGTGGCGATTTCTATGCCCTCATCTTCTAGGGGAAACGCTTACTATAGTTGCGGTACGTTAGAAGCATTAGGTTCCTAAAGTTGTGCATGGAGACTCAATACACAACTATAGGAACCTAACGCTTCTAACGTACCACAACTAAAATAGCGTTTACCCTATAATTGCCAACCGCTTGGCCTCGTGTTTTTTTTAATTTTGTTTGCAGCCTCTCTATAAACTCTGCAATTTCAAACTCGTAGCAGTAATTCAATTCCTCGAATCTTCTTTTATTTCCGAGCATCGCTCGCTTTCTCTACACAGTTTTCCTCGGCCTCCGGGAACATCACGTCCATTTCCACTGCTTCCTCGTCAGGACCCTCCACCTCCTTCTCCGTTACCTTGCCTGCCACCACACCAGCGTACGTACTGTTACCGCGACTGATCTCCCATCCTGAAATTCGATCGTCCAGCGGTCAAGTTACATTTTTGTATAGCCATATTTTTCGCTGATATAACAAACAGGCCGCAAATTCCATCCATCATCGATCGGGTTATGCCTTCCTTTCTCTGGACATCTGCAAGGAATCATCAGTTCAAAGGTACATCGACCCGGAATCTCGTGGATGGGTCAAGTTTGCCTAAACACCGTACAGGTTTGATGGCTTCCACTTCCTCTTGCACCTCCCGAATCACTAACGCTATAATGAGCATGAAGGAAAGTTGAATGCTTGTCATGATCCATCAGAGAAATTGAGAATGTAAACACAATCACAAAAGTCATAGCTTTCGGGGTTGCCAAACTCACGTTGACATGTTGATAGGCACACTTTGATAGACACGTTCAGCACAGCTCAATCACTCGTGCAGAGTTGAATACCCCTTGATGATTTATCAAATATTTACATGGGAATTGCACTTCGTAACTTCAACTGCCATTTTTTCAAAGCCTACTTTTTTCCATATGGGACAGCGTAGACTTACTGTCCTGCCCGTGTTTTTTTAGTTAGAGGAGCGGAGCGACGGGCAAGCGTCCAAGAGAAGCTTCTTAAAGGTGAAATGTTCCCTAAATTCTATGAAATGAGCCAATACAAGATTTGAAATGTGCCAATAAAAAAAAAAACAGATGAAATGTTCCATCGAAATCGCCGAAGTTCATGGAACATTTCATCGCTTTTCAGTATTTTTTAGGGCACATTAAATCTCTGTTATTAATCATTTAAACGGGGGAATATTTTTAAATTAACTGGTGCAATTTTACTTATTGATGGTGCCTCCACATTTTTTTTACTGAGCATTTCATTTTAAATATTGGCTCCTCTGTCTGTTTTTTCTGGGTCAATTATTGATTTTTTTGGTTCATTTGATTGTTTCCATTGGCTGCATCTTTTACGACACGTTCCCAAAAAAAAATCCATGCAAAACAATCCCTAGAAAACTGAAAGCAACTTACCTCCATACTTTTCCATGTAATGGTGCATACTGTCAATGTATCTCATGATTAAGGCCATTTTGTGTGTGTGTGTGGGTTTTTGTTTGTTCCTTATCTAAACTGTAAATGGAGAAAAGAGAAGCGAAAAAGAAGTAGCATTAGTTTTATGTTCCAGGTGATAACACAACAATAAAATAAGGACTCTAGGACACGGAATACGCTTCTGTTTTGACAGGCAAACCTCACACCCCGAGCTACCCGTTTTGAATATACACACGTACAAGGGCGAAGTTTATGAGCAGTAGCAAACCTACAATGCTGTCCGGTCGTAAAAATCACAACCTTTCCCTTCGAGGCACGTTCAGGCACGAAATGATGACTCTCGGGAGGTGGGGAATTAACGAGAGCGGAACCGCTTTATCGACGAAAGGGACGATAAGTTACCGGGTAGTGGATGAGTTTTGGTATTTTTTGAAGAATATTAACCTTGCTGTTGATACATGCAAAACAGAAAGTCAAATACATGAAATATAAGCATCGGTTTCTTACATCCTGTGCATACGTTCCTTGCGGGAAAAGTAATTGTGAGACTTACAGTAGAGTAGGCAAAATATTTTTGGTCAAATTTTCGATCTTTTTGTTGGTACGCTTTTAACAGGAAATGGTTTAAAATGTCAAAATATTGTTTTCTGCGAATATGTTTTATGAAAAAAACGTTATAACAAAAAGCTACAAAATTTGACCAAAAGTTCTTGTTCCACGATTTTTGCCAATTGCGTCTATAATTTGAAACATTCAAAAAGTTTGTATTTTTCAAATTATTAATTATTAAAATCAAAGGACAATGGCTTTAAACGTTGATTTCTCACGGATTAAGACTCATTCAGGCAAACCTACAGCAACATCTGGCAGAGTAAGTTTGCTCTATCAAATGGTGTAGTTAGTTTGAGTGGACGTGTTGTGATTCATGAGCAACCGTGTAGTCATTATTTACATTCGGTTTATAGAACCTTATCACATGTTGCTCTAGAAGTAATTAGGTTTTGCACCGTCGGGGTTAACCCAACCGGTGAACACTCGTGTTTATTTCAGTTACCATGGAGACGTAATTTGTGATTAGCCCCGGTCCCTTTCAAATTGTATCATTATTTATGAACGGTTCTTATATTTGAAATGACGTTTCACATCCATCTAGTGATGTCCGATTTTCATTCGAATAATCGTTTAATCGATTAACGAACCAAAAAGTAAACTATTTATAATCGGTTACATCATGCCGATATAAGCATTAACATCACCACAGGATCATCACCGATCGTTTCAAACATGTGCTGCACTCTCATTGGTATAAAAATGGCAGCACAGCGAACAAAAAATAATCGATTAGTTGTTAATCGAGTAATTAAAAAATGGGACATCTCTGACTTTGGTGTGATTGTTTTGATAAAAATGAGCGCAAAATTTAATCTCTTCCGAGGGGGCAGCACAACCACAAAATTACCTTGAATACGGGGGGTTCTCATTGGATGAAAGGGACCGTGAAAGAAGACACTAAAATAGAAAGTTTTTCTTCCGACAGTTTCATCTTAGTATTCATCTTTGGTTAACCTCAATCTGATGACAGTTCAGTGGTACTGTTTACGTCGACTTAGTCGATTTTTTCTTTGCTAGATTTTCTCGATAATTTTTCAGACTGCAGTGAGATGTAAACCACACTTCTGCTTTGTCCACGAGCAACATCCGTTCACCACGACTTTTTTCAAGTTACAATTCGGAAATAGCAGAATTTTTTTTTCGAAGAAACGGTCAAGTGCTTGTAAACAGTACCACTGAAATGTCAAAAAGGTTCAGCCGATTAACACTGAGTTCATTCGTGACGTCACGCTGTAGTACCTAATAGTCCTAAGCAGCGTTGCCAGATTTTTTACCGGATTATCGGTATAAACCGTTTAAAGAAATCGGTACTTATCGGTATTTAATATCTTAATTAATTTGGTATTTTTGCCGTTTTTGGTAGTGAAAATTCAAACTTTTGGACTAAAAATGGAAAATTTGCTTTCCAGGAGAAGTTGGAATGAATTTCCGGGAAATGTATGAACTAACTTCTGAAGGAAGCCGATAAAACTTCCAGAGAAAGAATAAAGTGGCTCTACCCCTCACCATCCCTCTCCAGCGGGGGAGTTTGGTAAAGAGAGATGATCAAACCGATTTGTACCTTCATTCATAAAAGTTGTCCTTGCTCGCTTTCTACTCTCTATTTATATATACAATTTCACACTGCCGTACTCTAACGGAACTATCAACTCTATACTTTCATCTCCTCATCTATCGTCTATAAATTACCACTCTAGCAAATCAGCTGATTTTTTGAAATTAGCATCTTCAACTATAACAGAAAATGTAATATTCCAATATATTTTACGAAATGACATGAGTCAATAAGGTTGCACACTGCCAAAAAGTCATGTAAATGTTCGTGCCCTGAGACCGACACATGCAAGCGGCCCAAATGACATGATTCTTAGGCTGTGTTCCATTTGGAAAATTTTCACTTAGATTTGACACTTCGAAAATAAATTAAGATGTTCGAAAATCCCTCTGTTGTTGATCGGCCGATTTTTGAGAAAGCGTCTGTCAAAATTGATTCCTTGTCTGTCAGAAATAAGTCTGCTGGAATAGCAGGTTTATTTGACAATTTTCCATCTGTCAAATTTAAGTAAAAATTCACCAAATGGAACACAGCCTTAAATCAGTTGAAAGAAACGAGAAAATAAATTCAATCAATCGTACTTTTCGTCGAGTTGCGTATGTTTCGGTTTGGGAACACTTAATTTTACAGGACATGTTTGTTTACGTTCCATAATTTACGTCAAAGATGAATTACATCTCGTGTAAATATAGTTATTTTTAAGTGTGTGTTTACAGCAAGAACTTTTGACAGATCACAGTAGAACCAACAATCAATACGAAACTAACGATTTTAAATTGGCTCACTACTTGACTAGCAAATCGATTACGTACCCCATTCTAGTCAAAATTCTAGTACTACGAAATGTTTGTTTTGATTCGCTATGAAAGTTTGACAGATAAAATGAGGGGTTAGTGAATTTTCCTATGTTTCAAGGGGTGAATCGATTAGCTTGGGACCGAAGATAGTACCAGAGCAGAGCCAAAAAGTTGAGCACGTTTCTTCGGGACCAACTAGTCTTAGAGTTACCTCTATGGTAGAACTGACAGTTTATTCTCATATGAATTTCTGCTTTGTTTATGTTTATATTCAGCACCATTAACACCAGATCACTCACACACTCTAGATTTCTAGCTGTCAGTTCCACTGAGAAACTACACTTGGATCACCTTATTGGCATGCCAGGACTGATGATATTGATATTGATATAGAGATTGCTGACGTTTATCGTACGCACACTACGTCACGTATACGCAAAAAAAATTCATCAGAAAAAAACAAAACTTCATAACGGCAAATTTTCTTGATGAAAACAAATCACTGACACAATCACTCTTTAGCAATCTCTATTGGATGGACAACTGCCTTCTGTCATTTATGAATCAAAAATCAGCTCACCCTAAATGTCTCGTAAAATGGTCATAATTTACAATTTATACTCAAAGTCCCAAGGAACTAATCGATAATCCCCCATCCAATCGTGCAAAATTATTACAACTTCATTGAAACGCAGTTTCAAGTGTTCATCGTTTCCAACACCTATACTCATGCCCGAATGACCCTTCCTCGTCAAAGCTGCCAGCACCGCCGCGTTGACCCAACGTCATTTGATGACGGACGCGGTGAAATTTGGCATGTCCCAACCGTCTCCCTCTTTTCCGACTCAGACAGGGTAAAGTTTCAATTAATCAAATTAACTCCCTGTGCCGGACGAACAGACGGACGGACGGACGAACAACGACGACGACGGCGGCGGCGCTGACGAACAGTTTGATATGATCTAAATACCACCACACCGTGTGGATTCGGGGTGGACTTGGTGGCGCCCGTGCTTGCATGTTCCTTTATAGCGTAGAAGGCCATCCGCCCGAGTAGGAGAAGGAGGGGACGAGAACACACCTGTGCCAATCAATTGCTGGCTGACTTTTTGAGTTGGAACCTTCTATGAGACGATGGTGGCGGAGAACGAGGGGTTCGACGATTTGTTGAAGTTGAAGATCACTTTTAAAGAAATTTTAACATGGCGTAATACTCAAGACCTCTTTTTTAACTTGGACAACATTTGAGACTTCTGACACTTAAAAGAATTACGCTAGACGTTCGCTAACTAATATATGTTTACTTTTCACTTAGGGAACGCCAGTTTCCTACAACTCAGACATCATATTTCGATTAGATGAGCCGTTTTCGAGCTATGATTTATCGAAAAAAACTAAATATGCCGTTTTTAAAAATAAGGCTAGAGTTAGAATGGCCGAATTCCAGCACAAACTTGGTCCATTGTCCCTACCGAACAATTATGCAAAGTTTCATGGAATTCGAAAAGGATAAAATCGATAGTTCAGCTTAAATTTCCCCAAAAATAATCCTCAGGGTTCCCTCGGAATGCTCCCAGAAATTATTTACTTACTACTCCATGAAAAGATTTCAAGTTCCAACATCTTGAATATTTCTCTTAATCCTAGAATCTTGATAAATTCGTTTTCCAACGTAGGATGCTATTTTATAGGATCTTCAATGTCTGAAATCGTTTTCAAGGTCCAGAATCTGACCAAGATTTACTTGTTATTTCCCCAAACCTATCCCAGAAACCTGAAGATTGTTTTTAGACCATAATCTGACATTTATGACAGATGAATCTTACTTTTTGATCACATTCAAGATTTCAAAATTTAGCCCAATGACCCATTTTTCTCAACTGCGTTCGGAGTCTTCGAACATATTTTGTTGGCTCTACAGCTGAGACAAATTTTAAAATTGTGTTACTTTGAAACGCATTTGAGGTTTTGGACTTCGAAAAAATCTTATGTATGGCTTTTGATATTAAGATTGCATTCTGCATTTTAAACTGGACTCCTCAAAAGTGCGGAATCGCTAATAAAAGTGCGATTTTACGTTGTATCGTCTTGGTGTCTTCTGCGCACTTATTCCT